TTTGCCTTCCTTTATCCATGAATTGCATCATTCGTTCATCCCATGTCTCAGAGGCAGTAGTTGACTTTCCTGTGATCAAGTGCCATGTGATTATCTTCGCATCATCATCACCCAAAGACTGTATAAATTTCAGTAAGAATGCCATTTGCAGTGCCTGAGCAATTCTTCTAACATGTCTTGTTGCTGTGTCGATGTGATCAGCTGTTAGTAGCTTTGACCATTCTGTGACATCTTGATCTCTCATAACCATGAGCAGCTCCACAAGGCCAGCATGTTTGTATGCACTAAACAAAGTATTCACCTTTGACTTTCTCAGATGTAAGAGGGGGAACTCTGGCAAAAACTTTGCATACTTTTTGTTTTCCTTAATCAAGGACAACAAATTCATACCAATTTTGTTGTCTGGTCCTAAAAGTATCCTGTCAAGGCAAACATCGTATCCAAGATTATCATCCAGCTCAGTCTTGATCAGAATATCATCCAAGATCTCCCTAAGCTTGTTTATGTCATCATCTCTGCCAGAAGCTGGAGGTGGATGTCTGGTAAGCAAAGGAGGGGGTGAATACTTCTGTAAGCCAAATGCAGTCATGATGTTTTCATCTCTTGGTGTGTCATCATCTAAAGTCAACTGATCTATTGAGGTTTCTAGCAGGGAGTCATCTAAACCTGTGGCAATCCCATCCATGGTTGTGTCTGCACTGTTGGCATCACCAGCTACTTCTTTTTCTAGGACATCAACAGCTGTCATTATATCAATAAGGTAGTCCTCTTCCTCACTATCAGACTGGCCTTCAATGCATTCTGGTAGGTCACATGGGGCAATCTAAAGGAGAAAAACATTTTTGAATTATGACCACACTTTTTGGGTGTTAGTTGCGTTTTTCATATATAATTGTTTTAACATACATACATACATACATACATACATACATACATACATACACTCGCACACTCACACACACACACACTCACATTCACACACACACACATTCACACACGCGCGCACACACAGATTCACACACGCGCACACACTCACACGCACACACACTCACATGCACATACACTCACGCACACACACACTCGCACACGCACTCACACACACACTCACATGCATGCACACACGCGCACACACACTCACATACACTCGCACACTCACACTCCCCCCCCCCCCACACACACACACTCACATTCACACGCACTCACACACACACACATTCTCGCACACACACACGCGCATACTCACACACACTCGCACACACACACACACACTCACACTCACACGCACCTGCAATGGAGATTCCACATCATACATGGTGACATCTGCAGCAACAGAATCACCAACATCTATTTGGTCCTGGGTCTGTACATCACAGCCTTCCTGAAGATCTTCATTTTTTTCAGGTGTCATTTCCTTGAAATATGTCCGTAGCCATGCTGTTTTCGTACACAAGCCATCTGAAACGTGTAACAATCTTCATTTAATTCTGTGGATGTAACATTATTAACTTTGAATAGAACTATGAAGGTAACTGTATATAGGCAAATGAATTTGGTTTTCTGCTCATCACAGAGTATAGGTTTTTCAAGTATTTATGTAAAATGGGAAAGACTTATTACAAGTACAAAAGTAACTATGCTTACCATCTAGTAGTCTCCACAATCGGGTACTTCCCCATCGGCAAATCTTGTGAAATATTCCAATACTGGTTGTTTCTTGTGTGGAAGGATTCAGAATGACATCAAAAGCTTCAGGTTTTGACAGTGATATTTGTCGTTTGCATTGGCATGCAAGTGTCCCGTCGCATATGTTTGCATCATGCCAAGATTCTGTTTCAACTGAATCCTTTGGCATGCCTTGCAGTGTTATTGGCAACATGCAGAGCTGTTTCGAACGATGTTCTCCTGGGCTTGGGTCACTGTGATACTTCAGGCGGACAAGATTGTCAAGCATCAGCACTATGTGGCATCCTCTCATGCTCACCATGCCCTTCACTTCACCTGCTAAGGTATTATATGTGAGAGGATGTTCCTTGATATAGGTTGCAAAGTACAAGGTGTCATCAATGGATTTGCTTGTTAAATTTCTTTCAGCAAGAGACAAAGATGTTGTTATTCCAGAAGCACTTGTTATTGAGAAGACATTGCTTATGCTATGGTAGTTCATTAGAAGCTCATCAGTTGTTGCCTGCTGCAGAACTCCGATAAAATTCTTGTTGTAAGTATTCAATAGCAGGTCATAAGCTGTATAGAGTCGTTCCAATTTCTTCTTCATGGTCTTTTGGGTGTTATTAGATTGCTGAATGGTATCTTTGTTGATGAATGTATCCAAGACGATTTGCACAACCAGTGGTACATCCAAAGTCCATTCCTTAAGGATTTCAAAGTTAGAGACAGAGAGTGGTTTCGGTAGATTTGCTGTGAAACAAGATCGACATTTTTCACGGGAATCGAGGGAAATCTCTGTAACTTCATTTTGTGAAAGAGCATTGAGCTGCAGAAAGTTTTCACTTTGAAGTTTCTTCATGCGAAAGTCATCATGAAGACTTAACCTTGCAATTTGGCCATTCTTTTGGTAATATGGTTCAAGTGATCCAAGTGGAAACAACACAATAAGATGACATTGTAAGCAGTGCTCTTGATTCAGTCTACTGGTAATGATCCTTTGTAGAAGTTCAGCATTTCTTTCCTCAATTGCTGGGTTACATTCCACAAACACCTCCACAAGATCTTGATGATTTTTGGTTGAAACACAATGGCAACTCACGCAGGTGACTGATAGTATTTCTCCAGGGAAAATGTTAGTTAGATCATTTAATATTTGATTTTCTACAATATGAGGGCGATGACGAAATGTTGCGTATATCTCAATGCCTTCTGCTTCAATGTGCGAACTATATCTGTCTAGTCGTCTTGTGATTGTGGATTTTGCAGTTTTCAGTATAGCACTGCTAAGATGTTTTGCACTGGCAACTGTTCCAAAATATTCCCATTTTTTGTCAGTGGTATTATCACGCTCAGTCGCTACAATGTCATTTGCAAAGTGCAACTCAAACAAACAAATGTTAGACCACTCCTTCTCTGTGAAATGCTTCTTGTATAATATTTCCAAGTTCGGAACATCTGATTCAATGGCAGTGTAATCAATAAGGTCATTGATATCATGTGTAAATTGTGATGTTGCAATCTGTTTATATAAGTCAAATAATGTTCTTGAGTTTGTTTTCTGTTGGCCTCCAAATATACTGCTGTGAATGCTCTGTGTTATCTTTGAGCATATTCTAAAGTCATCACTGTGGTGACATATGTATTTTACAATTGCAACTGTATTGAGAAAAATTGCATTTCCGTCTGTCTTGATATAATTATTGCGATAGGAAGCAACTTCTCTTCGGATATTTTCTTTTTTTATCTTTATTCTGTCTTCTTCATGGTGTTCAGTCCTCAAAAATTTACAGAAGTCCTCAATGTTGATCCATTTGTTCTCCTTATCAACTAAAACCGGTATTGTGCTCAGCCCAAACATCCTTGTTAAGCAAGCCTAAAAGAAAAAGTTTGCTTGCTGGTATTATGCTGTTTTTTCATACCCAAATTAAGTTTCAATATGGTTTCAAAGAGTGTATACATTATCAAGGAATTAGTTTATCAAATATACAATTAATTATAATTAGGTTAGATAATTCTGTTTGGATTTACGTTTCAACTGTTTTTCTCGAAAGTAAATGGTAACTGGTGTGTATGTTATCATTTCTCAATACACATACATCTCTAAATAAATATATATTTACAGAAGTCACTAGGAATAACTTAAAACATTACTCACCCAACTTCATGATGTATCCAGGCTCATAAATGTAGCACTTTGTGTGATGAATATATTAACTTCACTGATAAAATGTATTCTCTCACAAGATATTTCTATGTCCACGTGTGTACACAGCTTGTTGAGGAGAGTAAAACAAATCGAAGTGGGAGAACCATGGAATATTAACTGTAGCTAAAATTAGATTGTTTATCTTTATTCAAGTTAGCAAGAAATCCTAAACCATCCAGATGCTGGAGAATTTCTCCCGCACCTCACCCCAACCCCCCAGTGTGTTAATTAATTGTCCACCAGAAAATTGGTGTTGACAGCAACAGAGATCTTAGATGTGCTCAGATCGAGCACTGCTAAGGGGGTTGTACGTAGGACTGTACATTTAGAACCATTATATTACATCTAAAACATTATTTCATTTTTTTGTTTAAATCTCAAAATATTTACTCATTATGAAAAACCCAATAGAGTTATAAATAGAGGAGTGAACCAAATATTGGTTACCCAGTGATAAATGTAATATCCCAATTAAAATAGAAACCTTCAAATAAAAACTCAATTGCTCAAAAAGTTATCTGGCGCTCTGCTAAGGGTCCTGTAAAGTAGTGAAATGGTGAAGTGCAATGTACTGTTGGATTTGACAATTATTTTAGTTTACTTGGGGTGAAACAATACATCGTGAGTTTTCATACGATACAAAACATGATACCCTTTTTTCTCTATCGATACAAGATGATACACTTCCTATAATAAATTACTACATGTACATGTTTACTGACCTCAATCCCTGACTGTCTTTTGGTATGACGCGGCCGGGGATCGAACCCAGAACCTTCCGCTCTCCGGGTGGCTCTCGACCACTAGACCATGGAGGCGGTCTATAGTAGGCCTCGTATTGGGATACAATACTGTATCTCCCTATTGTTACACCACTATTGCTGTATCATTTCATGCTGTAGCCCAATTGAGTGGAGCGATGCTCATGATGTCAATCACTGAATTGTATGGTCCATATTCGATTATTTGCCAAACACTGTCATGAAGCTACAATATTGCTGAATACAGCGCTAACCAACATACAAACAAAATCAAAACGCTAATTGCCTCTTATGGCAAACAAAGATCGCTGAAGACCAAATTTCCACCACATTATCATGAGAAAACAACCATTTTTGGGGTTACTCACTGTCACGTAGACTGTATCTCATCTGCATGCCAAATATTGACAATGTATCTATCCCTGTGCGGTTTTCTCGTCGCACACCTCGACTGATGATTTCCTCAATAGCATCCAAGTACTGCCTCTCGTCATGCTTCCTGAAGAAAAGATAATCATCATGGAAAACAGAAATACAGACAGGCAGATTGCTGGATATGTCTTCATCTGGACTGTTAAAGACAGACATTGATCACTCAACTTAAATTGCAGCGTTAGAAATTGGCACTAGTCCTGTAGTCCTTGCCAAATTGACCAATAGTGAAGGTATCTTAAGGACTAGTAGAAATTTGCCATTTTAGAGTTTTACTATACGTTATCATTATAAGGACTAGTGGACTAAAACTGTTAGTTTCTACTGCTGAATTGTTGTTTATCAACATACCAGTAAATGTGATGAGAGGTACGAGGGAAAATATTTGCAACTTAACATGAACCACATGTTAAATATATCCTTTGGAGAGCAGAACAATAGACACATCGACTTGTTCGTTATTCTGGGACAAGAGAAAACTAAGAGAGACGCACTGTTTTCCATAAGAGGATCCAGTGGGGGGAACGGAGAGGGAGGGGACGATACCTCCCTTTTAAAAATGCTGGATGTGACCTTGTTTTTTTCTTACATCTGGTTATGTTATATAAGCTACTAGTACGACTAGTTAGATAAGATCAACAGTGTCTATCCCTGTTGAACTCTCTTACTTAAATTGTTTACCTATAACAATATTCACAGGGCAATTTTCAAATTCTCATTGAATAATTATTTCTAGCGAGAAAATATTGCTTAATTAACATGAACACAGATTTATTGGACCACAATATTGAATCCGATACATATAGAGCGGATGCAAATATTTTACACTGTGAGTTTCATGGGATGTGAAGATATCATTAAACATCTAATTTACTCATGGCCTTCAATGGCCACAAATGTAACTTTTGATAAATCTAACTCTGATATCATGTATTGTATAATGGGCCGGTGGCCCCTTTACTGAAATAAAGCCCTCTCTCTCTCACTCATGGCCTTCCAAGTAGCATGCATGTTATATTTTACAGTCCATGATGATGTTCTTTTTTCTTAACTCAATCAATAAGTTTGGTTTAAACGATAAAAGTTTGTAAAAGGAGCGTCCCTTTTATTTAGGGGGGAGGGGGGTTTTGTACAACAATCTATTTTTCCCCAGGTGTATCCAACAACCTTTATAGCGCATCTAGTATTGAATATTGGGTATAATATATCGTGTATATAAATAAATGCAACTTTGGTTATTAAGACAAAGACCCCGTGACTTATATTCATATTTCACATTTCGTAGGTACAGAAAATTCACTGAATGATAGTCCTATGAATGTTCAAGGCTTACCTTTCTTGACAAGTTACTGTATGAGGTCCCACGTGCCTCTTGGATTTCATAATCCATGATCTGTTAAAACTATATCCACCCCACTCACAGTTTCTCCATTCTATGATTCTCACAAACCTAGCAGTAGCACTATACGCAAGAATGATTTGTTTCATTTCTTGGTCAAGTCAGGACATCATTGAAAGTCCAACCACTAGAATCAAAGGCATCAGCTCTGAAGTCTGTGATAACCATATCCTAAGAGAATCATTCAAAATATTTATATCAGAATCGTCTTCTTGTCCAAATGATTATAAATCAGTGAAGGATGTCAAATGTGATCCCTCGGGGTAGGTCACTGGGTGAAGCATCTGTAAGTGTCCTGACACTTAGTTGCTACTTTGAAGTAAGGATCAAGCATGCAGTGTTAATTTTTGTACTTGCAGTTGAAGCGGCTTATATATACTCCATAATCATTGGATTAATCAGTGCATTATTATCTTAGCAACAAAATGGCGAGGACTTCACAAGGATTATGTAGGATTGCTAGGGAAAATGACAGCATAACACGTCGGATGTTGATTTACTATTAAGGAAAGCAGCGTCCAGAGTTACGTCCCTTGAAACTTAATCGTTGCAATGCACAGCATTTGTCAGCAACTTTAATCGTGACAATGTTCAAGTTCCATATACGATTACATAAATGCGTGGCCCAAGTGCGTTGATCTGTCTTTTTCTACAACCCAGATTAAACATTGTGAAAACACACAATTAACGTAGCACGAGGAGAAACCAAATGCAACCCTGTCATTTGAACACGCCGGATAAACTCCGAATCCGGTGTCTGACTTTACGCTGCTTCTATCAATCAAATATTTAGGAGTGAAGGCAGGGGTCACACAACGGAGTCCAGACATGACAGATCTTGGTTTCAACATTTACTTACAATAATGAGAAACCATATTTAAATATTCATACATAAATGAACGCGGCAAATTTCGTAGATTCTACAAAATTCAATTTGATAAATATTACGCGTGTAAAATAAATATCCAACATTAAATGAAGCTACATGTCCATAACACGAATAACTGAACAATGTACAACATACAGATACTGCAATTGAGGTGTGTCACTACAACCTGGGAGGTGACGGGTCTGAAACTGGCCAGACAAGTTAGGCTGTGTCCATGGTTTTACATTTCGATCTTGAACACTAGAAAGTTTAAAGACTCGTAACTAGAATGACAAAAATACAACAGAAAATCTCACTTTTCTCGTATTCCGTTTGCAAAAGAAATCATTTCTGATTTCGTATGACCGTTGCACTGTGTTGATAAGTTATCATTCATCACTTCAGCTCCGGCCATCACGAAGTTGCCCTCAGTCAATCCCGCCATTATTCAAATTTCCCGCGTTTTCCTGGGTTATAGCGAAAACGGCATCTCGACTCAAGCGAAAACGGCTACTATTGCCTGACGAAAACGGCACCTTATTTTTTTACACCTTGGTCAAATAAATGATAATAAACTTACATAAAACAAGTAAGAAATTAGACCCCTTCTCCAATTTACTCGCCGACTCTGATTGGTAGGCGCAGTTAACTTATTGTGAAAACACTATACGCTTTGAAATTTTAAGTACTTTTACTCAACTTACAAGCTGAAACTGTATTTAAGAGGCCAAACATGGTGCTGTCAGATCACAATTATTCATAATGGCCTTTCGATGTGTTGCATGCGAGAAGAATGTCAGAAAAAATCAACATGCTGTATCATGTGATAACTGTGGCCCGTCAAAAAGAAATTTGCCGGATGCGTAGATTCCATTATTGAAGAGGTGATCGGTAACTTTGATGTCAGTTTCCAATCAGAAGATGCAGAAGAAATGAGAGTACCAAACCAGGTACCAGGACAGTGTTGACAGCAATTCAAGTCCGAGTTGAGGTATTGATATTGTTGTTATAACTGATTGGTGTAATTGTTCTCGGTAATTTACAATAAGCTCTCAAATACATGTTGAATAGTTTATTGTTACAGTAGCTTAATTGAACGTATTATGTTTTAGGTAAAGGAACAAGCTGTTGAAAACATCCACAAATCGGGCGCCAGTATCGTTGATTCTGTATTCAAGTCTAACTGTCATGACATATCTGACTTACTGAGCAATACCACTCACACAATCATTAATTAAGATGATATACATCTTTGGGAGTATAGTATTGTTGATAGCATTATGGGTGTTAGTGTGACTGAAATATAATTCGAATATATTTCCTGTCTCTTAGTATTTTCAGCTTATGACAAGACAGTGAATGTATTGTTTGGGGTAATACATGTGTTAGCATCTTGCTATGAGTGTTTTCATTTCTATGCTTTCAATAAATCATACAAAGGTCATAGTTTATTAGTAGTAGTATTATACTAGTATTATAGAAGGATTATGCAAACATAAATTTGATCTGTAAATGCAATCTTGAATAAACTGAAATAAACTCTGAAAATGTTCATTATTTAGTATAGTAATATGTTCTACAGGTATTACTCAGATCCTTCTGATGTACCTTCTGCTGGGTTGTCTTGCTCATCAATGTGATGTGCTTCACCTTGCAGACCTGTAAATAAGGGGATACAATTTTTAACATTGAAAAAATGCAAAAAATTATTGTATCATTTTCAGACATTAATATATTTAAGCATTCAATAAAGTCACAAAATAAAGTTATACTTTAATGTTATTAATTGAGATAATTACATTGATTGTATACAATGTGTCAGCTCAGACAATAATGTTATGACAGGAATAGCAAACTATGCTCTACAATACATGTTGGAAATTTTGGTATTATGTTCAAGACATGACCTATATAAGGGAGACAACCCACCGAGTAATTAGATATATGTCCCATGTTATAGATGTGATTATGTATAATAATACATGTTAATAATATTCAGACATATGATGATATGTATTACCTTCTGGTGCAGCGGCAGCTACATCGCCATCATGAATGACTGAAGTGAACAGAATATTAAAATACAGTAATGCAGCTATTTTAATAATTTTCGGGTTAGAATTGACAAAAACAATTGCATTTGTGACTGAAATTGTGATGAGTGATTAATTTGATTATCTGACAAATATTAATCATTATTTGAATGATTTTGTACAAGTGCAATTCACAACAAATGTATTCATTACTTTGATCACAGGCATAAAAAAGTTGTTGTCTGAAATTTTTGTTGTTGTTTCCTTTGTCTTTACTTGGTTTGTTTATACTATATTTGATAAGTATTTTTGTCATCCAAATACATTGTCCCAGGTGATAGGTCTCACCATAACCAACATTAATGAGAAATAGTTGGCTTTAAAATTTACATTAATCTTTTACATATTGAACTGCCCATACCATCAGTGTCAATGCCATGTTCTAGGCCATGAATACCTGGCCTCCCCTCCAAAGACTGACAAAGGACCTCGTCCGCGTTGGACAGTGCTGGGAGTGGAGGCCCTTCTCAAGTTGTGGCCATTGACCTTTTGAGGCCGTCGATCTTGCTTTTAGCTACAATACAAACTTGCAGTTTAGTTCAGTAACATAACATATATATTGAAATATTAAATTTGGGTTTCATTGACATGTGTTCATGTGTTATTGAGGGATAAACATGTGTTTCATCAATTATATAATAACCATTTAATACAATATGATGGAGTAACAATGTTGACACAATATGCCTCTTAGTATTTTTCTAATATAAAAGAGTACCTCTTTGTTTCAAATTGAAGTACTTCTTCTTCACTTCAATAGCCTCCCTTTTGGCATTGATGTGTCTTCTGAAAGTATATAAAAGAAGAGATATAATTTGAAAATTAATATACAGAACATGTTTTCTTCTTCACTGTCAAGGAATTGAGGAGGGGAAAGCCCATGAAAATACATGTCTCCATTTAGATTACCGGTATATACAATAAAGTTAATTCAACGAAGAATCAGGTATATCAAGAGTGTGCTTGCCATGACACACATTTTCGACTGTTTACTTATGCAAATCTGGGCACCACATTTCAACGCATGATCGAATACAGGCCCCGAGGTTATAAAACTTCCCTGAGTACGATTTCATGCTCAAATCCGGTTTCGTGCTCAACTCAAAACTCAGACTCAATAAACGGAGGTTATAAATAATCTGAGTACGTTTTCGTGCTCAACTTGAGCATGAAATCCGTACGATCTCAAGTAAGCTTTGGACCGTGCTCAACGCTGAGTTCGACAACAACAATGGCAGCTCACCTGCGACAGACGCGACAAGCGAGGCGGAACACCCGTGTTCCGAGAGTCTTTCGAGATCGTTCTAACCCGCTGGAAGATTTAGATGTCGAAGAAGTTTTTGACCGTTACAGATTTAGGCCAAATACTATAATATATTTACTTGGTCTACTCGATCTGACCAGAGAGACAGCTCGTAACTGTGCGATTCCACCACTGTTACAGTTGCTGGTATGCCTTCGCTTTTTGGCGACAGGCGCTATGCATCTGCTGGTTGGGGACAGCCTAAACATTTCCCGATCTACAGCCGGCAGATGCATACGTGCAGTTTCGTTGCAAATCTCCAAACTTTCAGGAAGGATTATTAAATTCCCAGTTGGGGGAGACGCCGTACGAGCGAAGGAGGCATTCGGCAACATTGCAGGTACGTACATGGGATTTTCCCAATGTAAACACAAATAAATGATTTCATTGGTGTGATTCGCGTCAGTGCCATTTTGATTGGTCAGTAAAAAGAAAATGGGTCAGAGGTCGAGGTCATGTATATAAATAAAATAAAATTATAATCAAGCGATAGATCTTAGGATGGGCTGTAAATGAAACTAGTAAACATTGCCCAGTGCAGTATGCTATCTATTGTGACACCATGACACGTTTTACTTACAGGATTCCCTAACGTAGTAGGGTGCATTGATGGGACGTTCATCCGGATACAGCGGCCTACCACGAACGAGGGAGACTTCGTGAACCGGAAAGGTTACCATTCCCTGAATGTACAGGTAAATGGGCATAATTGTACTCCATAACTATTCGTTATAATGTATGTGTTGGTTTAGGGGTGGGGAGATGTATGACTTTTGTAATTCTTATGTATGTATTGTAAATTGGAGTTTAAATTTCTGATTTGCTATCCCACAGATGTGCTGTGATGCAAATTTCTGCAGCACAAGTTGCAACGCCAGCTGGCCGGGATCGGTGCATGACAGCCGTATTTTCCCGACGTCAGCACTGTGCAGGCAATTTGAAAATGGTAAGACACGTTTTTAGAACAATTTGGTGAAAGTATTCTGCAAGTGAACAAGAATATAGTTTATCCTGTTACAAATAATATAAAATCATTTCTGTAATAGTAATTATAAGTTAAGATGTAAATTTAAATCAATATGCAGACATTTTTGTATGACATCTCATTGAATTGAAGTGACATACAAAGGGCAATTGCTTTGGAACCCTGGATAGACATGGCATAAAATCTCAGAATCTCCATACCCATTTTAATTAATAAATTAGATTGGATTCATATCCTCATTTTCATTTGTTTTTTCTCACAAGTTATTTTTTAACTTAACAATTCCATTAATTAGGATGAATGTATTTGTTCCTGGGAAAAGGTTTATTTCATTCATCATGTTCAAGATAAATATTGAAATATTTCAATTCTTAATGAGACAAATTTTATTCATACATTATATGTACTTTTTACAAGTATTCAAATCATAAAACAATCTGTTATTCTTTCAATAATATATAACCTTATTTTATTATGTTTAAGGACAGTACAAAGGTTTTTTGCTGGGGGACTCTGGCTACCCATGTCGTTGGTTCCTCCTGACGCCTCTACTGAACCCCACCAACCGTGCAGAGGAACGCTACAATGGGTCATTGTGCAGGACAAGAGTGCTCATTGAACAGACCTTTGGTGTCCTGAAACGGCGGTTTCAGTGCCTGCACAATGAGCTCAGGGCGACCCCAAGACAGGCTGTGACCTATGTTGTTGCATGTGTTGTGTTGCATAATTTGGGTATTGAAAGGGGGGATATTATAAATCATGATGAAAATCTAATGCCTCCATCTTCAAATGTGAATAATTATGTGCCACCGGTTACAGGTCCAAATGATGGAGCTGATGTGAGACGGCACATTATTCAAACATTTTTTAGTCGATAAGCATAGGAACAATTATTCACTACAATTTAATCTATCTGAATTTGTGATTTCAAATGTATATCATCTTAATTAATGATTGTGTGAGTGGTATTGCTCAGTAAGTCAGATATGTCATGACAGTTAGACTTGAATACATAATCAATTTGGTCATTCAATGTTTTATTCAGATACAAGCAGTGCACAAAATGGAACAATATTTAATTTGTATAGTCTGGCCATGCCAACAGTGCAGATTTATTTGTTGTTTAACTCCTTACTCAGCAATATTCCAGCTATATGACGGAGGACTGTACAGTAATTGTGTCTGGACCAGACAATCCAGTGATTGATATCATGAGCATCGATCCACGCAATTGGGATCGATGACATGTATCAACCAAGTCAGTGAGCCTGACCACCCGATCCCGTTTGCCGCCTTTTACGGCAAGTAAAGTGGGAAAATGTTATAATATAAAGCACATACTACGGTAGAAACTACCATTTTTAGTCCACAAGTCCTTACAATGATAACATATAGCAGAAACCTGAAAAATGGCATATGTCTACAAGTTCTTTCATACATTGACAAGTGGACACTTTGGCACGAACTGCAGGACTAGTTCAAATTTCTAACATTGCACATTGTGACAGAGCAATTCAATTCATATTTGTTTCTTAATTTCTAAATTTGAACAAGATAAAGAGTTAGCTGGAATAAAATGTTGTCATTTGTTGTGAGTAAAGATACAGAACTTATGCATGTTAGGATATTCATAATAGTCTGTATGAAGGACAAATATCTTGACCTAATGTTAGTATCAGCTGGACAAATGAAAAGTGCATGGTATTCATCATCTAGGTCTACACAAATTGCATAAACTATAAGTAAAGTCATGATCACTAGACATTCTATATTTATGTCTTTATGTTGGCACATCATACTTGCATAAATGCTGAATTATCATCACAATGTTAGAGTTACATGCTTTAAAATGATCTTACTTAAGAGCACATAACAAAAAAATCAGGATTTTTGGAGCAATTGCATATGTAATGAATAGTGATAAAACAATACAGATAGAGTTGATAATGTGTAACAATATTTCTTTGAATTATCATTAACTATTGTATCTGTCAAATTCAACTGATCATGTCCAAGCAAATCAGTAAATGTTGTTGTCATTCATATTGCATTTCTACATAACTGTCTTTAGTAATTTTGATAATAATTATTCTTCAGTTGGACATGATTCGACAAGAGAAACACCAAATTCCGCATTCATTTTTAGTTGGTAGTAGACTGATTTCCTCTGCAGCACTTGAATTTCAATGTCTAATTTCTTTTGATTTTTTTCTAACACTTCAATTTCCAGTTTCAGCTTCCTCTGTTCAAGTTTGATCCTTTCCGTGTCCTGTATCGTGTTGTCATGTGTTGCCTCAGCTTGTGTTCTTTTTCGTTTGCGCCCGGTCTTTTTGTCTGTAAATATAATGAGACTGACTTGTGTACTCTGCGTCATCTTTGGGAGTATAGTATTGTTGATAGCATTATGGGTGTTAGTGTGACATAAATATAATTCAAATATATTTCCTGTCTCTTAGTATTTTCAGCTTTTGACAAGACAGTGAATGTATTGTTTGGGGTAATACATGTATTAGCATCTTGCTATGAGTGTTTTCATTTCTATGCTTTCAATAAATCATACAAAGGTCATAGTTTATTAGTAGTAGTATTATACTAGTATTATACTAGTATTATACTAGTATTATAGAAGGATTATGCAAACATAAATTTGATCTGTAACTGCAATCTTGAATATACTGAAATAAACTCTGAAAATGTTCATTATTTAGTATAGTAATATGTTCTACAGATATTACTCAGATCCTTCTGATGTACCTTCTGCTGGGATGTCTTGCTCATCAATGTGATGTGCTTCACCTTGCAGACCTGTAAATAAGGGGATACAATTTTTAACATTGAACAAATGCAAAAAATTATTGTATCATTTTCTGACATTTATATATTTAAGCATTCAATAAAGTCACAAAATAAAGTTATACTTTAATGTTATTAATTGAGAATAATTACATTGATTGTATACAATGTGTCAGCTCAGACAATAATGTTATGACAGGAATAGCAAACTATGCTCTACAATACATGTTGGAAATTTTGGTATTATGTTCAAGACATGACCTATATAAGGGAGACAACCCACAGACTGAGAGTAATTAGATATGTTATAGATGTGATTATGTATAATAATACATGTTAATAGTATTCAGACATATGATGATATGTATTACCTTCTGGTGCAGCGGCAGCTACATCGCCATCATGAATGACTGAAGTGAACAGAATATTAAAATACAGTAATGCAGCTATTTTAATAATTTTCGGGTTAGAATTGACAAAAACAATTGCATTTGTGACTGAAATTGTGATGAGTGATTAATTTGATTATCTGACAAATATTAATCATTATTTGAATGATTTTGTACAAGTGCAATTCACAACAAATGTATTCATTACTTTGATCACAGGCATAAAAAAGTTGTTGTCTGAAATTTTTGTTGTTGTTTCCTTTGTCTTTTGACAGTACTTGATTTGTTTGTACTATATTTGATAAGTATTTTTGTCATCCAAATACATTGTCCCAGGTGATAGGTCTCACCATAACCAACATTAATGAGAAATAGTTGGCTTTAAAATTTACATTAATCTCTTTTACATATTGAACTGCCCATACCATCAGTGCCAATGCCATGTTCTAGGCCATGAATACCTGGCCTCCCCTCCAAAGACTGACAAAGGACCTCGTCCGCGTTGGACAGTGCTGGGAGTGGAGGCCCTCCTCCAGTTGTGGCCATTGACCTTTTGAGGCCGTCGATCTTGCTTTTAGCTACAATACAAACTTGCAGTTTAGTTCAGTAACAATAACATATATATTGAAATATTAAATTTGGGTTTCATTGACATGTGTTCATGTGTTATTGAGGGATAAACATGTGTTTCATCAATTATATAATAACCATTTAATACATTATGATGGAGTAACAATGTTGACACAATATGCCTCTTAGTATTTTTCTAATATAAAAGAGTACCTCTTTGTTTCAAATTGAAGTACTTCTTCTTCACTTCAATAGCCTCCCTTTTGGCATTGATGTGTCTTCTGAAAGTATATAAAAGAAGAGATATAATTTGAAAATTAATATACAGAACATGTTTTCTTCTTCACAGTCAAGGAATTGTGGAGGGGAAAGCCCATGAAAATACATGTCTCCATTTAGATTACCGGTATATACAATAAAGTTAATGCAACGAAGAATCACATTTTCGACTGTTTACTTATGCAAATCTGCATGGGCACCACATTTCAACGCATGATAGAATACAGGACTCGTTGCGATGTGTCACGCATACGCCTGAGAACTTTATAACTTAATTACCCCAACCTCCACTCGAAATTGGTTTGAAAAGAATCCACTAAAACTGTTTGGAGGATGTCCCTTGACCTTGACCCTAGACACAACGAACTTGAACTTGAGCATGAGCATGAGCATGAGCATGTATTTGAGCACGAAACTGAGTTGAGCACGAATTTTTTTTTATAACCTCGGGCCCAGCTAGCTGGTGGACGCCAAAACCACTCAACCCTCATTCGCATGGCGAACTGAACCCAGGAACTGTTGCGCCCCAAAGAGCCGAGGACTTTGGACTTCGAGGTACTAATAATAATAAAATAAACTACATAATGCTATTGTATAAATTCTCAGAATCACCACAATTTTGTAACAGAACGAATATTGTATTTTAACTTTTATTCATATTTTCAGATTGCCGAGGACTTCTTACCTGTCCGTGTAAATACGTCACATACATCCAATAACATGTAAATACATCAAATACCATGTAAATAAACCATATCTATTACAGTAACTACAAAAATCATTCTTTATTATTATTAAAAATAGAGGTGCCGTTTTCGCCTGACACATAGTAGCCGTTTTCGCCAAATGCAGTGCCGTTTTCGCCAGAGAAATCGGTGACGTTTTGCTGAGGTGCCGTTTTATTATTATCCCATTCAGACCCGACATTTTAACAAGCACACACAAAGATCTAGTTCAGAAACACTAGACTGAAATTAATCCAATATATGTTTCCAAAATTATTAGATATATTTTTGATTAATTTCATTGTGTAATAAGAAAACAAATGCAAAATAAATGGCTTTTCATGTGAATAAAATTCAGAGGCCAAATATCAGAACCAATGACAGACCCTATCATTAAACAACATTATCACGGATACTGGGCGTTAAATAATTCCGCTAAACCACCATTTCACAAGGGGCGAAAACTGGGCATAATCGGCGACATTTGCTTCTTCAAATTTGCTAAAATAAAGATGCCAACGGTATTTCATTGATGTGGTCGTTTAATTCCATGTATTATGTTTACGATTTCGTGACAACAGTGAGCTGACACGGAATATCGACGCACATATCACTGTTGAAAATGGGGTGTGTGTCATGGTTTACATTAAAAACACTCAGCGTGTTTATTTGACGTCACATCCGGTGATTTTCAAAAATGGCTATGCTAATGCCGATATAGGGGAGGGACACGCCTGTGAAAAGAGTGTCATCTTGCGTTTGCTGTGGTAAACCCAAATCTGGTGGCGGGCAATTTTATAGGGTGAAAACTAGACCAACAAAATCAACTGACAACAGTCTCGCTAATCTTTTGGAGCGCTACAGTGGATTAAAAGTGGTTCATGGGTTGAATTCTAAGTGAAGACAGAACATATTTTAAAAATTGCATTTCTGAAATTCGATGATTTTGTTTGTGTTTGTATATTCCAATAAACCTAAAACAATTAGATCATGCCCTCTAAATGGCTAAAATAGCTGCAAAGTTATTATTGTTGACATATTTATTTCAAAAATTAACTTCTATATTTTTGCGGATTAACACAAAGTGTGCACTCCAGCTTTTTCGTTTGCAAATACCTCCATACACTAAATTGTTGAAGTCAATTCTTAAATAATCTATGTTCCATTGACATTATATAGAAACTTATCACGTTTCATGGATAGTTGCCAAACTATTGGTACCCAAATGTTTAATGTTTTATTTGTTTGAAAATGTAAAGAGGTATACCATACCATACCATACCACCACTGTACATGTAACCCACACAGAGCAACAAAGTCCTAAGAACAGTTAAGGTAAATATTATATAATAAGTAGACTGCAATCGTTTGATTTATGATTGATTGAGTGATCTTTGAAGATTTTATAGATTTTCGGGCAACGCGGTCCATTTACACCTTGTCTAGAATGGCGGTTACAAAATTCTTAAAAATGTTATGAAGTAGAGAAACTGACACAGGCTTTCCCCTTGGATGATAGAGGGACATATATGTCATTCCTCTTCAACCCTCACTTTGAAGTCGAATAAAATTCAAACTGCACCACTCACAGATTGAGGCACTTCACAGTTTTGAATACTGTGGGAAATTCCCCGTTTGGTCATGTCATCCACTGGCATTTTGGGCCAAGTAAAATTACTGAAAATAACCTCTGAAATTAGGTTCAAAGTAAATGTCGCCATTTGTTTACACATTACTACATTACCACTCACGGGGTTATTTACAGCATGTTTTTGAAACAATAATTTCGGCTATTTACTCGGGGAAATGAATTTTAAAAAAACGGGTATCTGACTTTGATCAAATCCTGAATGATCATTCCAAAACGTCGCCGATAGCCCTAGAATCGTTTAGAATGCATTGGAAAATACGCAAACACGAACGCCGAATGAACTTTCCCCCATATTGGATAGTGAGTGAGTGTGGTTTTACGCCGCTTTTAGCAATATTCCAGCAATATCACGGCATATCACGGCTTCATGCATTGTACCCATGTCGGGAATCGAACCTGGGTCTTCGGCGTGACGAGCGAACGCTGTAAACACTAGGCTACCCGACCGCCCCCATATCAGCTTCCCGAGTCAAGAGAGTTAACTGACTTTAAAAGTCCAATTTCCACGTGGAAACGACTTTTATAGTCAATTAACTCCTTTGCCTCGGGAAGATGCCCCCATATTGGATAGTGTTTACAAAATCACGTTTCACGTATAACGGTTATGAGATGCCTGTAACATCACGTTAATTTCATACTCAGTTGCGATACATACATCCTTGAATTCCTCATACAGAGTAGAAGCAAATGGCACATGGTCCTTGTCACCAATACAAAGTGTTTAGATGACATGCATCAAAATAATTTAGGTGTGAAAACGAACGCTGTACTCGAAAAACTACACTTGTTTGAAATGTAAACAAAGCAAAATTCAGATTTTACACAGTGTAGCATTTTCTCCTTTTTTTAAATATCCATTCGTCTATTCAGGTGCAATCTTAGACTACATTACTACTTTAGTATTATTTGTAACACTTTGAAAAGGAATATCACCTTCATAATGCTGTCACTCAGCTACAATGTTGTACAAAGTTAGAAGTGATGACTGTGAATGAATAGAAACCATCCATTATGATTCTGCCCATTTGTTGAGTAACGGACATTGGTTTATTTCGTTGGTATTAATAATTGTATTGCATTTGAATGTTGCTTAAAAAAATATAGCTAGAAAATATCAACATTGGCCATGGTTTAAATCTATTCTATTCTAATTTCAATGTTTTCAACAGGGGTTTCATCATTTTAAACGTAATCATCCAATAAATATATCGCAACCACATACGAGGAGTCGCACAACACATTTCTATTTTGTTAGAAGAGTCACATCATAATATGATATATTACGAGTTATTCCTTAAATGGAACACCAACCCACTTTAAACATAAACATTTTTGACGTCATGGAATGGAATGCGACATATATATTGTTTGCGTTGCTCTACATATGTCGACATATATAAACTTCCTACATGAGTATCTCGTTCAAATACCTGAGAATATTTTATTCGCTCAAAGTTTTCTGACAAGTGCATAATAAATATTTTTCTCGCATAGCACAATTTGGTGATGTATTCGAAAACCTGCGAAATGTTCATGCAAAGAATACGCGAGACTATGTTTACTATCATTTCTCTTACATATTGATATCATGTACGTAAAATGTATGAAGAAAATAATTGTGGAAATTTAACTTCCAACAATTAAGTAAAATTTAAAGTTTGAAGGTATTTCCTGCACCAGATGGTGGCCCATCTAACAAAATGACTTACCGGCTCGTATAGTGTGATATTAGAACGGGGCCCAGCTTAGGGTCAGTGTAGCGCCAGCGCAGCATACCCAAGGAACCACACTGTGTAACAAAATATATTTCGTTATCTTTTTGCAAATTATCATCATATTTGCATTGTTACTATTTCAATAAACGGTCGCATATGTTCTTTGAAACAGCCTTTCTATAAACAAAAACAAAATATTACAAAATGACTTTGTGTAACGAGAGTAGGGCCCCGCTGCAGCGGAAGTTGTATTCCCTCCCGACTTCCTTTCTTTTCCAACATGGCTGGGGAACGTGACGAGAAGTGAGGGACTCTCCTTTTCTTTGACATATCTTAGATATATCCCAATAAAATACACGATTACTTCATTTGTGGCATGAACAATAAAGCGTCGCTAAACACACATCTTTTGTTTCACAGGACTACACAGTCGAAAGGACCCCTGCAGTCTGTCCAAGTATTTGGACGTAAGGTGCGTGGTTAAGAGGTTAATCCGAGGCTATTTCGTACACTATGTGTTTCGACTCACTATTTAATATTTGAAGGATTTCCCAACCTTCATCATCATGGGAGATGTACAGCTGCATGGGATCACTCGTGTTGCATGTAACTGACAACAGTATATGTGACAAGTGGCAACATTTATTTGCATGAAGAGTTGATGATCACCACCAAGTGACATTACTATCATAATTTCCAAGCAATATAAACCTAGTATCACCTGGCCTATATATTGTCGTGGTATCGGTAAAACTCATAATCCACACCCCTGTTGACTCTTTACTCATGCAAATCTAAGCACGATATTTCATCGCTTGATCGAATACAGGACTCCTTGCGGTATGTCACGGCTAATTCACGATTTGAAAACTCTGTCATCGATAATATCTTACATAAAATATTGTGATGAAATAAAGTTAACATTTACCCAAACAGTCAATAATGTCAATTGCTGAAGATGGAAAGTAACTTTTTGTTATATCTCAAATGTCCCCAAAGTGCCCTGCATCAATGTGCCACCACTTGCCAGTGGAGTGAAATGTGTGTATGTTGATAATGATTTCTTTCGGTATTGTGTTTGCGTATTTGCTCAAAGTTACTTCTCCAATATTTATCGATAATTGATCAATAATTAGTTAACGATTATCAATCTCTGTTATCTGTGTCGTCATTCGATAGCCAACCCTAGGGTAGATATTGATTATCGTTCACTTCAAATGTCAGTATTTGATTACATACATGTTAAGCATGTGTTTAGGGCTTTAAAATATTAGGGATTTGGTTGATTAAGCTAACAGTTGCGTCAAATAATATACAATACACTAAATGTGTGCTTGTCTCGTGCATTCCTATGGGGTGTCTGGCTGATATACCCCTTTTCCAGGGATTGACATCAGACACTCCTCGTTCCTAGGGCAGAATACTATTGGTATTGGTGCACTGATTGATTATAAAATTGGTTTACGAGTTATTTGTATGCATTAATTTGATTATCAATCACATTAGCATTAAATGAACATATTGAATACATAGATAATGTCAAGATGTTGCCATTGTTTATCCCAGAGAGAAAGAGGAAGGAGTTTGAATGTACAAGTACACGACATACACATTATTCTTCATAAACTTGGGTTGTAGAAAACTGCTACAGCTGTTGCTCACTGCAAGCGTGGAAATGGCCTGATTAAGGTGAACGGTCGTCCCCTGGAACAGCTCGAGCCACAGATCTTGAGGGCTAAGGTGATTTGATAATTGTATAAATACAAAGTCATGGCTAGGTTTTCCTGTGACATGTAATATGTTTGAAATATTTAAATGTAAAGATTGCGACTTCCATAACTCTACAATACGTACGATCTGCAAGAGTTATTGGATTGTTTCAATGAGTGGCCTGGTTTTATTAGCTTATTGTGCATGTTGTCAGAAGTGAATCATGTTGAGATTACATTGCTACAGACGAGCTTGATTAATCACTTGTCCTGGTACTACATTAGTAGTATGGCTACTCATGTCACCAATCACTAGTTTGCTGGTCAAGACTACATTTACAGGCCACTGTGCTGTATATTAATGACTGTGACACACATCACTGATTTAGTGGTACATTTAAGTTGTTTTTCCTTTCAGCTCCAAGAGCCTGTGCTGCTCCTCGGCAAAGAAAGATTTGCCGGTGTTGATATCCGTGTTCGCGTCAGAGGTGGTGGTCATGTGGCACAGATCTATGGTAGGCATATTTGTACACTGTATCATCTTTATGAGCAGTATCAGTAATGATTTTCGGTCAGTCCAAAAGTATTTGAGCATACTAGCCTGAACTTGACTGTGGTTTAAAAGCGATCATGAGGCTTGACTTTCAACTGTCGTGACGCTGAGATCACTTTGTAAGTGGGGCTTTGTGTGTTGCATGGGTGACATGACATCCTTGTACAGTTTCAGTTTTGGATTTTGATTGGCCCAAGAAATTGGTCATTGAAAAACAATCCCTATAACACTATGTAATTTTGGTGTTGGTTTCCAAGGAACCAGATTTCAACCTTGTTTGTTAGAAATGTTTTACCAGGCTTTCGAAAAAGCTGTTTATAGTTAATAAAAAGTGAATAAATTCTTGGCAACATTATGTTAGCCACAGTTCATCTTGCTAATATCAAAGTCTGTGTGTTAACTGAAAAGAGTTCCAGTTAACTGTTTCACTGAAAGCCAACTGCTAGCACAACTGAAGATAAACCCATGTTTTGAATGTATAATGATTTTTGTCTTCTTGTTTCTAGCGATCAGGCAAGCCATCTCCAAGTCTCTTGTTGCATACTACCAGAAGTGTAAGTTGTTTCTATTATTTGGTTAGGTGGAATACATAGTGGTAAACTTCCTCCACATTTCATCATTCATAAAACAAGCTGAATACAACCAATGTTTCACTCAAAGGATATAAATCCATACTGCTTATCTGGCAATGAATAAACCCGTGAAGATCCCGATTAGAATAGGTCTTCAGCAACCCATGCTTGCCTTAAAAAGTGACGATGCTTGTCGTAAGGGATGACTAATGGGATGTGACTTGATTGATGCATGTCATCATATGCCATTTGCATAGACCAATGCTCATGATGTCAATCACTGGATAGACTGGTCCAGACTCAATTATTTTCAGACTGCCACAATATTGCTGAGAGCAGCATTAAGCAAAAGGAAACAAATAATACATAAATATTCTTAACCTGAACACAGACATTGATGCATATGTTTATGTTTGAAACCAATAACGATGTTAATCAATCACAATTGAGTCAAGATGACACATATAACCCTTCCAAACCCTTTTTAATCCATGGAATGTTGGTACGACCTTGCATAAAATCCCCAAAGTCTACAATTCATTACCTGTATTTTGCACTGATCCCACTATTCATTACCACAGTAACCGTTTTTTTGGAAACGACTTTAGTCCTGAAAGTTTCCCTTGCATCAGAATTGTACACAAGTCATGCTCCTATTGGTGCATGTTCATAGAAACTGGTTCACTCTTGCCATGATAGTATTGATACTGATGAGACCCGTGAAGATTCCGAGGTAGAATAGGTCTTCAGCAACCCATGCTTGCCGTAAAAGGCGACTATGCTTGTTGTAAAAGGCGACTAACGGGATCGGGTGGTCAGACTCGCTGACTTGGTTGATGCATGTCATCGATCCCAATTGCGTGGAGCGATGCTCATGATATTAATCACTGGATTGTCTGGTCCAGACTCGATTATTTACAGACCCCCATCATATAGCTGGAATATTGCTGAGTGCAGCGTTAAACAACAAACCAAACAAACTATTGATACTGATGAAAATATTGCAAATTCACTTCAAGACAGTCATAAGATAAACCTTGGGTTTTCAGATGTAGATGAAGCTTCAAAGAAGGAAATCAAGGACATCCTGATTCAGTACGACAGAACACTGCTTGTTGCTGACCCCAGACGCTGCGAGCCCAAAAAGTTCGGTGGACCTGGTGCCCGTGCCAGATACCAGAAGTCCTACCGTTAAGTCTGTACTATGTGATAATAAAGTCTGGGGACGTAACCTCCTCCTTGTGTTTTTATTGACATTGTTCCCTGCAGCCTTGTGGGGACGACACAAAGATGTTAGGTGTTCTTGTAAACAAGCAAAAACATATTCAGGGATGTGAAATCTCTGCAGAAACGAGGAAAATCAGGGTTTTTTTAAACAGTAGTCCTCGAGGGGAAAAATCATCTTCAGCGTAAAAATATAATCAAAGATTTTTACACACAAAAAACACTCAAAAAGTGTTATCGAAAACCGGACCCCACTAGACTTTTTTTTGGAAACCTGCTCACATCCCTGCATATTGCCAATGCACTGTCGGTCAATATTCATATACATGCAAGTACATCTTCATTTGGATTTGGGGTTAGAATAGGTCCCCAGCAACCTGTTCTTGTAAGAGGTGGTGGTCAGGCTCCGTGATTTGTTGATTGAATGTCGTCGTACCCAGACACTGGTATTTTGCTCATGATCTCAATCACTGGTTTGTTTGAGACTCACAGGTCACTTTCATTTGGAAGAATGTGGCGCGAAACTTGAAAACAATGAACAATTGATAAGTTTGATCACATTTGGTGAGGTAGTAAAATAACTAGGGCTGGCTATCGATACAGATCATAGAGACAGATCATTGTTAACTAAATATCAATCAATTATCGATAAATATCAGAGAAGTAACTTTGAGTAAATATGCAAATGAAGTCCTAAAGAAATCAACATATTTCGCTCCACTGGTGAGTGGTGGCACATGTCATTTATGCAGGGATTACTTTGTGGACATTCAAAATATAACAAAAAAAGTTACTTTCCATCTTCAGCAACTGATAATAACAAGTCTGTTTTGGTAAACCTATCTTTATTTCATCACAATAGTTATGTAAGATCTGATCGATGAGACAATTTTTATATTGATAATTGTTAATATTTTTTCCCATCGCCGATAAGTTCAGATTATCAATTAATTTTTTTTGCCAGCCCTAAAAATTACCTGCTAAAGGTAGTAGACTCACGAAACCAGACCATATGGATCGACTGATTTAACTTATCCTAGTACTTAAGTCCATTCTGCCATGGCTCAACGAGATCACACTAGTGTTTGTTTTGTTTTTTTGTTTAATGCTACACTCGGCAATATTCCAGCTCTATGACGGTGGTCCAGTGATTCATATGAGCATCCATCTACGCAATCGAGATACGACCATCCGATCCAGTTAGCCTCTTGCGACAAGCATGGGTTACTGAAGACCTTTTCTACCCCAGATCTTCACGGGTCCATACCAGTGCTTGTCACTAATTCTGAAGGCACAGACCAATACATCACTACACACAAGTAACTGGTAGTTAGCAGATCTCACTGATGTCTACAACTATATCTACATATACGAACGAAATGACAGGTTCGGTATTTAACAAATTCAGAATAAGATTTCGCCAATCAGTATTCAGGTAAAGCCTGTTGGGCTCTAAATGAGAATGATGAAATGCAAAACAGCTCAAAATCGGGAATAGTCCCTCTGTATTCTTTCTATATTCATCTTCGATTGTGTCGAACCTCGAATAAGTATTTAGGTAGGTCCCTTCAACTTCGACACAACAGTGTTTGACTGTAGCTGGAATATTTTTTAATAATTCAAAAGAAATATATATATATATGTTAATTTCTGCCATACCACCCCCACCACTAAGTAATCTATTGATTGTTAAAGATTAAGTGAAACATACTACAGCCAAGGCCCCTTAATGAAACTGTGAGGGTGGTGTCTGCCCCAACTCCGAGAAAAGGTGTTCTGTACTGCTGGTTCATCTTCGATTATCCATTATTTTGTACTCCATACAATTAGGCTAAAATAGCATGTAATATTTTCTTCCAAATTAAAAAATAACATTTTACTACATATATCAGTTTACAAGTCTCTGAACATTACTTTTCACAGGGTGAGGTGAAATGGGGTTTACGCAGCATTCATGATTATCCCCCGACCAACAAAGTTGGCGGGGGATATAGAAACGGGCTCTGTTCGTCCGTCACATTTCTTTTCCGGAGCATAACTCAGAAACCGTTCAATATTTTTTCATCAATAAAAAAAGGTCTGTCAAGTACATGCAGAACTGGTGGCTTTTGCTATTTAGAAATTTTAGAAATTTTTATTTTTTTGTTTCCATGGCAACAAGATGGACTTCGGTTCCAAACTCTTCTTTTTTTTACAATTTCCATGACAAGTTCCACCTCGGTTCAAAAAGGTTAGGGTTTGTTTAGATTTAATTATGTCCTAAATTCTGCAGTAGGGGCGGGGGATATAGCCACGTTAGTGGCAAACTCTAGTTGCACTTGCATAACGACATGCATGCACATCTGTGCTTGTTGCGGCTTGTACCAGTCCAGACTGTCAGTTTTATGGTGCTATCCCATGTAGATACAATGCCACAGTTTAACATAAATACCCCACTCAGACACGGTACACTGTCTCCGAGCCGAACACTCCTTGTTTTAGCTCCTTAATGCCCAACGCCAAGCACGGTAACAAGTACCATCTTTAAACATCTTTTGGTATGGCACACTCAGGGGATTGAACCCTCAACCTTCCACTCTCCAGGCAGATGCTGTCAACTAGATAACGGAGACGGTCAGTTTTAAAGGACGTGAATCAAATGAACCATAACTGTTTGATAGGAATATGTACCCCGGTATAGAGTGTATTCATCAAGTAAAGAAAGAGAGCAACACAGATTTTCTTCATCTTTTGGTATTTAGGGACAATAATATTCTGAGGTGGTGGTGAGGGAATGAATGAAAATCTTATAATCAGTTTAATATAGTAAACTTTGGTAGGGATAATTAGGTATGTCCATTCTATTTATATATACACTATTATTAGAGTGAGTGAGTATGGTTTTACGCCGCTTTTAGCAATGTTCCAGCAATATCACTGCGGGGGACACCAGAAATGGGCTTCACACATAGTACCCATGTCGGGAATCAAACCTGGGTCTTCAGCGTGACGAGCTTTAACCACTAGGTTCCCGACCACCCCACACTCTGATGAGAATAACTTTTGTGTCATGGAAAGATAAAAATATCCCTATCAAAAGTGGAGTAGTATATTCTGGCTTTAAGATACCTTTAAACAGTGCAGACAATGTGGGAGAATATTTATGAAAGTGTGTATGCTATGACATGCATTCCACAACAGACAAATAAATCTGTATGCTATGACATGAATTCCACAACAGACAAATAAATCTGTGATAAACAAGTCAAGCACAAGCTTTACATGAGTGAGTTTGGTTTAACACTGAGTTGAACAGTATTCCAGTTATATCTCAGCATGTCAGCTTGACCTGGAAGGAAAGCCCGAAGTGATGCAGGTCTTCAACGTTTACCACTGGGTGAAAGTGAGCCTGGGAATGAACCGGAATATGAACCCACAGCCAATTGCAGCACCTTGGATAAATATCAAGCTGAAGTGAAAAGCATCAAATAAAAGCACTTATCAATTGTCTCGTCATTCATCAAACTTTCATCTATGAAACAATCATAAAAGCATATCATTGGGAAATGGTTTTCATATTTGGTCCTTAATTCATAAAAAGAATATACAAATATTTCCCTGAATCATCTTTCACGAGGTACAATTTTGAGCTGGCACATCAGAGTTGGAATCTGCATTTTTATAATATAGGGGTGCACTCTGCTCAAATAAAAAAGTGAATTCCCAATCGCGTAGATCGATGCTCATGATGTCAATCACTGGACTGTCTGGTCCAGGCTAGATTATTTACAGATCGTCATCATATAGCTGAAATATTGCTGAGTGCGGCTTTAAACAACAAACAAACAAAAAGAGAACGAAAACAAGACCACAACTCAGAATTGTCTGATAAAAGATGGTAGGGGTGGTTCCCTTCCAGTACACATCCCATGGACCTGACAGTTAATATTTTTGTCTTGCTTTGCATTTCAGTGTTTGGGGCAGGCAGCTTTCATGACTACTATGAAAGAGTATTATGCCTTCCAATACAGAAATATCAACAGCCATAAATATAGAGACAATACTTCTAACAAAGGGAAGTAACTCCTCCTCAGCACTCACTCCACAGAAGCATCACCATTGAAGAGCATATTTACCCTGCAAACACATTGCTATAATATCCTAATTACGTGTCTTTTCATGACATGATTTACAGATTTGAATTTCAAAGACAATTGCTAGGCACTAGGTTGTTGGTTGACAAAAACAGTTCTGAAACTGAAGTTGATGAATATCAACTGTCCGACCCATTGAAGCACAGATATTATAATTGTGTGCATGTTGGTTTGTTGTTTAACGCCGCACTCAGCAATATTCCAGCTATATGACGGCGGTCTGTAAATAATCGAATCTGGACCAGACAATCCAGTGATTAATATCATGAGCATCGCTCCGCGCAATTGGGATCAATGACATGCATCAACCAAGTCAGCGAGCCTGACCACCCGATCCTGTTAGTCGCCTTTCACGACAAGCATAGCCGCCTTTTACGGCAAGCATGGGTTGCTGAAGACCTATTCTGCCCCAGAATCTTCATGGGTCTTGTGTGCATGTGACCATATTGATCTCATACAGAGGCTAGTTTTATTGCAGAAATATATTTACAAATTGTTCTAGATATTTCACATTTGAAAAGTTTATAGTCCGTAGACCTTGTAATTAATTACAAAACACTTATTGAGACTATGTGTTATTAAATCAAAACCAAGTTAAAGAAAACAGAAATTATGTTTTCAGCTCAGTTTTAACAATTCTTTGTGAAACAATGTTTCCAAAAAATAACTACAAAACATATATAAGAATCTGGATTTATTTTCCACTAGACAACAGAAAAATATCCTACCAAGAATGGGTAGAAAAATATCTAAAGCATGTGTTGTGACAAGTCTACAAAATAAGACTCATTCTCACACAAACTGTTTCTGAATAGAAAACACAGCATCATTTCGATAAATCCAACCTAAAACAAAAGAAAAATGTGTCGCAGTACTAACTGGGCAGAAATATCCTCCACACATGGAAGTGTAAGACAGTGACATTTCATACAAAATCAGATGATGACATCACAAGGGGAAGAGTGGGAACGAGATGGCTTTATGTTCCTTTGAACAATTTTCCCTCAATATCATGGCAGGGGCCACCAGACATGGGCTTCACACATTGCACCCATGTGGGGAATTGTACCTGGGCGTTCGGCGTGACGAGTAAACGCATTAACCACTAAGCTACCCCACTGCCCCGTAAGAGGAAGAGGAAGATGAGACTCTTATAAGGACCTAGCATGTTGTTGCTGTTGCAAAACCAAAAAGAGAACACGCCCAAGTTCTATTGAAAGTACATGTAACTGTATGTGGGAAATGCTTATTTCAAATATCTCCTTGTTATAGATGTCATGAACTTTGATTAATGGCCTATTTTGAGGAAATCAACCTTTGCAAAAAGAGGTCTTTTCAAAATTATGTCCTGACATGTTACATTAATTTCAAATGTGATGTTTTTAAAGTGATGGTGTCCAATTAACCATCTTGGTCTTGCTGGCTCTTCAGAATCTTATATTTGACATTCTCAAATATCCGAAAAACAAGGAAAAGGGGTCTGGCCTAATTTGTGATTAATGCCAATGATCGCTACTTCAGAGCATGTGTCATGTCAAGAAGCATCTAGATAGTTATTTTAGTAGCAGGGCTGGTTAATCGGATGTTAACATTAGCAACAAAAAACACAAGCAGCTAAAGAACCCTGTACCATGCGGATAATTATATACCAAGATTCTTATAATACAAAAATGCTCATAGTATATATTGTCAATTGAATATCAAATCAGATCAATATTTTATTAATTCGTTGCATTACATTACTTTTAAGACATCAAATCATACAAAGAAACGAGTCAATACCATCTATTGTCCATTTTTGTTCAGAAAACATTTTATTGATTTTTTTTATTTAACCAGTTTGAGTTACAGAAAGAATAGGCAATCCAATGTAGTTGTTCACATTAGTCAAGAAGTCATGTCAACAATCAAACAAAATAATAAACATGATTCAATTGCATGGCACGAACGAAAGTGCCCTTCGCCACTAAGCACCCTGCACCATGTTTTCAAAAACAAATCTCAAATATGTCTTTAAAAATGCCCGTCTTTGAATACATATGAATATTTCCTTGGCTCCTGATACATGAAATACGTTTCTTGTTACCAGATGATTATACCGAGATCAGCTTTGGAGTAAGCATCATCACAGTTTCTTCAAGGCAAAGCATGTTCTAATCATAAGCAAGTAATGAATTTATTAAACCATTCAAGCATATAAAAAATATCATTCATCAAAACAAATACTTTTTAATCATGGTCCTATTCATATTAAGTATGTTCAGAAAATGCAGACGAAATAGCCCAATCTTGACATCAACAAATAAGCAGCTTTGTACGGAAAATAAACAAACAAGGATAATCTAACAACCATTGAAAATTCTATCAGCTTTAACTTGCTAAACATTTTTTTCCAATTTGATGATTTTTTACAAACAGACAAGTGTAAAAAGAATATCATCATTCAGATGAAAACTGCAATAAAATATTGTTTGTGAGCACTCCTCCTTCGAGACAATATGTTCTGAAACAGATAAACTGTTCAGAAACTTGGAATATCCCATAAGCACCAAGCCAGGAATCTTATTATAGAGAGGTGTGACGACATTTCGGATACTCTATACCCTTAAACAGTTAATCAGCAAGGAAATAAGTTCCAGGTCAAACTAGTGAGTATGTTTATATACTGCTTTTAGCAATATTCAAGCAGAACTATGTTTGGAGACGCCTTGAATAGCCTTCTTTCATCTTGACAAGCAAATGCTGAAACCAGCAGGTTACGACCCCCGACACAACAGTCAACTTTTAACCAAATAAAAGGGTTTCTCAAAACATTCTTCCTTTAGTCACTACAATGTAAGACAAGAACCACAACTGACCCAAGCCCCTGGTGTTTCATGCTCGTTGTTACTTATACTAAAGATACATAATCATCACAAAACAAAATAATATTAGAACACAATTGGTTCTAAATATAAGAGTTTTAAAATTGGGCAATATCAAAAATTTACATTTTCTTTTCGATATTTTCGGATTACAAGGATGTCAGGTGTTTTAAAGAGAAGTGATGCTCTTCCCAGTTTTACATCCCGTGGTCCAATGGTTGGTGATCATGTGACCGCCATGTTACAGACAGACTCATTATTTCAGCCAACGATTAATCAGCTCAGTATATTTAAAAACAATGGTTGATGATTTATATAAACATGATACATGATTTTGTACACTACAATTCAGTGTTTTGTTCTTCACATTGATGGAAAATGTTTTAGTTCCATTCCATGGTCAAAAACTATTGAGGACGTGGAAGGCAACAACGAGCATTAACACAAAAGTATGGAACCCAGGAGAGTATGTTTCATGCAGCTTCTAGCAACATTCCAGCAATATCACGGTGGGGGACACCAGAAATAGGCTCCACACATTGTACCCATGTTGGGAAAGAACTCTGCCATCCCCGAAAACAAGCGACGCTTTAACCACTAGGCTACCCAAAAGCCTGTTTAACCCATTAGAAAAGGAGAAGTGAAACACTCCTTTACAAAGTTGACATACCAATTCTCTGTTCATAACAAATACATTTAATCATGTATCTTAATGAAAAGTATCTCATAAATATCAGGTTTTGATAGTTCAAACAATGGTCCCATATATATTGTCAACAAATGTTCTTACAGAGAGGTGTACAACATTAAAGATAACTCCGATAGCACTTTGTAGCTAAGGAAACGTTGGTTTCTACTCATTCATCATATGGACATGTAACCGAGAGACAGCTCCGACAAATACAGGTCATGTCGTCACACCTCCTCTGTTAACGCACTGCGTAAATACTGGGGAGTTGTAGGAAATAATCTGTAAACTTGGTCTGCTGTTGGACAAAGATTGTGGTCAAACATTAAATATTCCTCATCTAAGCCTTGCTTAGAAGAGACTTCATCTCATCTGTTTCTGCACAGTCCAGATATGGCCTCCCGTCAGGCGACTTTCCATTCTTGTTTGCGCCCTGAAAACCAAAATACACACTGAATAGTGAAAGATATACCATAATATAAGTTGGTTGGTTTGTTGTTTTACGCCGCACTCAGCAATATTCCAGCTATATGACAGCAGTCTGTAAATAATCGAGTCTGGACCAGACAATCCAGTGATTAATATCATGAGCATCGATCCACGCAATTGGGATCAATGACATGCATCAACCAAGTCAGTGAGCCTGACGACCCGATCCCGTTAGTCGCCTTTTACGACAAGCATAGTCGCCTTTTACGGCAAGCATGGGTTGCTGAAGGTCTATTCTACCCCGAATTTTCACGGGTCAACATAATATAACTGTACATACTGTGCCATGAAATTATTGAGTAGTTAACAATAGTCGTAATTGAATATGGAAAGTTTTTCACCCTCTTAAGTTTACCAAAAGATAAAAGCTACTTTTGAATTTGTTATAAGTAGGAAGCGGTGTGATGAAATGATAGTGAGCCAAGTTAAAAGCCACACTGTTAAAAGTGGCGTTAAACACAACTCACTCACTCACTCACTTCAACGCGCAGAGCGTCAACAGGCTATTGGCATGCTGGAAACTGGAAGAGTGAGTGAGTGAGTTGGGTTTAACGCTGCTTTTAACAGTATTGCAGTTATATCACGGCGTGTCAGCTTAATGTGGGAGGAAAGCCCGAAGTGATGCAGGCCACAGACGTTTACCACTTCAGTGAAACCCACGAGCACGGGTATGGTGCTGACAAACCTAGAAACATAATTGGGGCGAACCGGGATTCGAACCCACTATCATAGGTTTCTGGCGAGCCCAAGGGACGCTGCACAGCGAATCGCAGCGCCTTAGACGACTGGGCGACCCGTGCCCCAGGAAACTGGAAGAAGTCAGCATGCAGTGGCCAATGTGTTTAATGTTTCCCAGTCTGTGATTAGCAGACTGTGGAACAGGTACCAACAAACCCAAAATGTTGAGGATCAATTCTGTTCAGGGCATTTCAGGTCTACAACCAAAGTACAGGGTCAATTGATCCCAAACCAGGTTCAACAAAATCGATTTCAAACGGCGGATCAAATTACTGCAAACCATTTATCAGGTTACAGGCCTCCAATTTTCATTGTTTATCAAGTAGTCATATGGCTACAAATACCTTTTCCAGGTAGCCACTGGTAAAATCAAGAAGTCAAGCCAAAATTGTATGTAAACAAGATTTGAAAATATGTTTTAAAAGCATTTTTAGTTCAATTCCTATTAAAATATGTACAAGTCATAGCATTAGTCTTGGAATCGTATATTATCCACGTATACTTCGTCAGCCATTCTTTGTTTTTCTTTTCAACTAATTTATTTTACTTTCAAACGTCACCACCTTGTCTTCATTTGCGTCCATCGGCTCGGGATCACGTCAACCTTGACTATTTATTACTTTCAAAGTTACTATCATCATCATTTTCACCAACAACTTTCGGTGGTACAATCGTTTTTGGCTGTACGAAGATGGAGAAGTATTTTGCCATGATGTTGTCACGTAAAATGGAACAGTCTACGCATGTCAGAAGTTTGTAACCTCAAGGCACTGCACACAGTAAAATTATTAACCAAACCAAATCCTCACACTGCTGCATGGAGCTATCAAAATGTTTATTGACCTGGTTATTTGACACGAGTGTGGTTATACGAGTTACATTGCAATCAGAAATAACAGGCGATCAAGAAAGCATGGAAGCAAATGTCAATCAAGTTCTTTGTTTCCGTGTCTGCTCATGTGAAGTAATACAACTTAATCGATAAGATATTTTTTCAAGGTAGTCATTTGGTGATCTCTGAATATTTCATAGTAGACACACTGCAATTTAGGTCGCTTTGGTGTTCTAGTTGCCCCTTTGAGGCCTGGGCTGCTGGAGTACAAGTTATGGGTCAGACGATTAGAAATCTCAGGCCTCAAAGTTGCGACTAAAACGGTCGGTAATGCGACCTAAATTTCAATTTGTCTACTGTCTAAAATTCAGAGGTAGCCAAATGGCTACCTTAAAAAATATCTTGTGGCGACTAAATTCTTTTGCTACATATGTGTAGACACAAAATGTCTGCTACTAATTTTGTACTCAAAATAAATTCCTCCTAAAGTCAACGATGAACCGAAATACATAAATATTGATGTAATTAGTGTTTAATTTAGTTGATAATTTATTGGATAAGCAAGGATATACCTATGCAATCTAGTAACATAAATTGCATCATTGTTCGAGCCACAAATAACAAAAGTCAAGTACAGTTTCCACTAATATACAATTCCAAGACTAGTGCTATGACTTGTATATATACTAGTATTATAATAGTTATTTGATAAAAGATAATTTCAAATGCTTTTGGCTACCTACAACATTGGCTTGACTGCTTGATTTTACCACTCGCTACCTGGAAGACAATACTGGTCGCCATATGGCCATTTGGTAAAAATTTAAACCTTGAGGCCTGAATCTTCTACAACAGAGCTACAGATAAGCTTTTGGTGTTGTGGGTATTTTACCCATGCATTTTAAAATCATTGGGTATCAGTAATTCTATCTGGGTATTCAAATTTCTGTTACCCACTAGTTTTTACACATGTGGGTATTTAAGTTAAATATTTAAAAACACTATTCATCTAGTCCCAGCAAAATGGTGTCGTGTGGGTTCGAGAGCTTTATAGGACTAAAAAATACCACGATACTTCCACAAGAAAGTGTGATCGCAAATGATCATGATGTAACTGTCATAGTGGAGTTTGGCAAGGTTGACGGAATGTCCGTATATAATTTCAAAATAAGTTGCTGATTTGCTAATCGAATACACAGGGTTACTTCACAATATTTTGATGATACGCACAAGTTTTATTTTTGTAGCGTATCTGTAATGTTCGTTGCGTATTTTATACGCTTGGATTTTATTTTACTGCATATTTCTGCATTTACTGCATATTTCTGCATTTCTGATGCGTATTTTACGCAGATACACAGCTTATCTGGAGCTCTGTGTCCAGGCTCGACGGATACAAGTTAGACGACCCCTTACAAATCGTCATTGTGCCAACAGACGTCAGTGGTGTACACAACATCAAAACTGGAGCATTTATCGCTGGTCATGTGTCATGTTTTCAGATAAGTCCCAAATCACTTGCAACATCGAAATGAACGTCTAGCCAATGACAACCCGAGACCTCATGACAGATTTGGTGGTGGATCAGTAGTCGTGTGGGGTGGCATCATAATGACTGAACGAAACCCACTACATATTGCACCGATGGTCAGTACTATCGGGACAAAATACTGACACCCTTTGTTGTATTGTTTGCAAGGTGTGTGGGTCGAAGTCTTGTCTTTCAGGAAGACAGTGCCCGTGCTCACGGTGTACGAATCATCAATGCTCACTATCAGCAGCACAATATCCATAGACAGCCATGGCCAGCAATGACCCCAGACCTTTCCCCAACTGAACACGTCAGGGAAATGATTGAGAGATGTGTGTGTCAATATCATAGGACACGGACCACGTTGGCTGAACTTGGTCAGACTGTGCAAGAGATTGGGACACTCCCTCAAATCGCCATTGGGAGACTTGTACACAACAGGCACTACTGAGTGAATGAATGTTTGACAAATCATGGTGGCATTACACACCACTGATCCAAAAACGTCAACTTTGAGAGTTCCAATCTTAACCCTATCATCCTTCAAGATTGTTGGCGGTCATAACATCTGCTGTCTACGTTACAAAAGCTTGTATTGTTCCAAATTCTTTCATTATCATCATACAACTGTTACTAAAACCTAATATCTTTGAAATTTTTAAGTTATATCCAAGTATCCCCTACTTTATGAAGAGTATATATTCACATGAATAGGGAAAATCATAATTCCAAGTTGGGAACTTTTACTGACATTTTCTGCAGATTTTACCCAGCAGCTGAAATACTGCTGACAGGGGTGACTTTCAGTCAGGGGAGCTGAAAACAAGACTTACTTTTTTCAACAGGAGTGCAACAGTTTCTTTGTGACCTTCAAAGATGGCAGATAGCAATGGGGTGATACCGTATTGGTCCTCAATCTAAATAGAAATAAGTCCATCACTTGTCTGCATGGTAAATAGCATTTCTCAAAACTGTCAACATGTACATGATCCTGTTGTGATTTAGATATGCATGATATGAGATAAGTCCGTTTTTACTGAAGTTAGAAGAAAGAGAATCACTGCAGAAATTATAAATCCAGTCAGAAACTTTAGCCACAAGACCAAAGCCTGCATGTAGTAAAATCTGTTCAATCTTGTAAGCTCAGTTTATAATAGTCTTCATAATCACAATAAATTCTGCTGAAAATGATGCCAAGAGCCATGTTCGGGCTAGTAGTCTTAAACACTTTTGGCACAGACTGTAATTCTGTGAACCAATTACCTCTTAAAAGTGTCTGAAGTAATAAAAATAGTGCCATGGCACTGTAGCTCACCTGGATATATAGTCAACAGTTTATAATGTCAACAAAGGCAGCCACTTAACATGAGTTAAACTATTTTCTGCATAATTCAGAAAACAAGAAAATAACACCGAAATCGTAATAATGATGTCATCATAAGAAGAAATATACATGCAAAAGACCACATTCCTCAGTCCTGCAATTTCACAGGAAGAGTGAGATACTCAGGTTTTATTTAGCAATATTCCAGCAATATCACGGTGGGAGACACCGGGCTTCACATATTGTACCCATGTCAGGACCCGAACCCAGGTCTTCGGTGTGACGAGCAAATGCTTTAACCACTCTGCTACCCGACCGCCCTTCACAGGAGGAGAGTGACTGAGTTCAGGTTAACGATGCATGGAAGTTCAACACTATTCCAGTTATATCAATGTGGGAGGAAACCCAAAGTGATGTCAGTCTCAGACGTTTATCACTTTGGTGAAACCCACGAGCACGGACATAGAGCTGATGGACCTACAAATATAAGCGCAAGGAACCAGGATTTGAACCCATAATCATAGGTTTCTGGTATGCCCAAGGCAGGCAGTTCTGCACAGCTAATTGTGGCGCCCTAAATGACTTGGCCATTCTGATGTCATATCAGTGCACATGCTGAAACACCTTCCTCCTGTGAACTGACTGACTTGTAAAAGAAAGCCCTCAAATATCCTTTTGATGGAAAGGATGTCTTCATGTCCACCTCCATTACCCATTTCTTTTTACCCTATCTCAATTTTGATTGGTCGGTAAAATCATACAAAAAATGAAAATTAAGGGCGGGTAATTTCAGATTGCGAGAACCTTGGGACTGGATCCAGGATTTGTACATCTTTCCGAGGCAAGGGTGTTAACTGACTATAAAAGTCCAGGTTTCCACCCTTACCGAACTGGGCTGGAGTTTCCAGGCTCGATCGTAGCCCTACTAGTGGCTATTACGATTTATGTCCCTTTTATTGACCTGTCAGATTCAATCTTTCATATCACTTACATTTGCTTCAAACAAAATGGTGTCACCTATCAAGATGATCTTATCAATAATCAAGATCAAAATTGTAATGAAAGGCAAATTGCATCAAACCACTTGAGCACCTTGAATAAAAATATGAAAAGATTAGCAAAATATCAGTCAACGCCCAGTTGACAGTACCCATGTTTCGCAAATCCTGCAGTCGACTGAAATCTGCATGTTGACATCCATGTTGTTTATGAACTGAATGTCTAGTTCGTTACACGATTTTGATTGGACTATGCATAGACTTGTTAGTCCAGCCAAAATGTAACTCCGGAATTTCTGCCTCGTTCAGCAAGGGTTAGTGTAGGCTGGAGCCCTGGAGATATAGAGCATGCTGAAGCACATGAGTACGGTGCCATCAAACCAAAGATCATAATGCTAGCAAAACAGTGATTTGCATCACCATTCAGCAGTTCCTGATATGGCTAAGGGATGTTACTTAGCACAGTAAATTGCAGCACCATTGTCACCTACGACTTTTGACCCAGTTAAAAGTAGCTGCATAATTGAGAACAAGAGATTAGGCTGTCTGACAGGGAAGTAACAGTAAAATCAATGTACTTACATTTATACCAGCCCCATTAGCCACTAGATATTCCACAACAGCTGTTTGGCCATAATCTGCAGCAAAATGGATCGGGCTCCTTCCTGCTATTTCCTTTGTGCCAAGAGATTTCTGCAAGAAAATTTAACATCAAAACAAATTCATTGATTATCATATTCCATGCATAAAACTACCTGTCTTGGAAAAGTGGATTAGCTTCAGCATTCTTTGCAAATATCAACCAAATTCTATCAACTATTATTGCCGAGTCAAAATACCTGAATTATTCTGTTGCGCTATCAAAATTTGCTTGCAAAGATTTCATATTATTATATCTTTGGTCAGTATCCATTTAACTATGACAGTATTTACTGCAGTGTTGCAAGATGTTTTGCGTTTTTTAAATGATCAGGCTCATAGTTCTAATAAATAAAATATCTGGTTTTGCAGCTGCAACTGATAATATATCTACTCTCAAAACAAAATCCCAGGATTTGATAATACATAACACTGCATACACTTCAGAATCATTATTTGTGCTCCACGCTCAAAAACAATAATTCCTAGAAAAGCTAGCAGGCGACATTTTATTTTATGAACAATATCCTGATCATACCAACTTAAGTTTCAAAACAAAATACATCTACCCATGAAGATTCGGCTTAGAATACGTGTTCTGCAACCCATGTTTGTCATAAGAGGCGACTAACAGGATTGGATGGTCAGACTCGCTGACTTGGTTGATGCATGTCATTGTATCCCAATTGCGTAGATCGATGCTCATGATGTCAATCACTGGATTGTCTGGTCCAGACTTGATTATTTATGGACAGCAGTCATATAGCTGGTATATTGCGGAGTGGTGTTAATCAAGATACAAACAAACAAGATACCTCTAATATCTACAACCAAATAAGCAGAATTAAAAATAATAGAACCTTTGACGAAAAGCGAAATACATGCAAATCAGCCTTAATCACTTATGCAGTCATGGCAGATGACTAAGATGAAAACTGCTTCCTTGTTGTATATCTAAAACAGTAACATGTGGGCAATCAGTTTATGTATCAACTAAATGTCGGTTTGTTCCAGTTTGTCCTGGGTACAAAATTGTACCAGTTAGTTAACGATAATTTAGTTAAGAACAAATCAATCTCGGTGGTAAAAGGTTCTTTAAGCACCATGACTTGTGTTCGACATCCCAAGAATGCGAGATGTAAAAACGGGAATAGATAGTATCCCCAGCAACACATGGCGTACACTAATCTTTTGACACATATTTTCAAAGTTACTTAGGGTTGCGAAGGGTCTAAGAAATCTTTCTATTTAACATTAGGCCTACATGAAATTTGCACTTGGGATTTGTCCAAATACACGAAAACCGAAGTTCTGTCAAATTGCCACGGAGATCCATATACAACAGAGCATTAAACAACAAATAAAAGGATCGCAAATATAAATGAAAACAATAGTAACCTCTTTGGCCATGAGAGTTTTCACTTCTGAAATGTCTCCATTTTTTACACTCCACAAAAAGGATTTAGACAATTCTGCTTCGTCTGCCATGATGCTGAGTAAGATATAAAAATTGGGAGGTCCCGACCGGAAACAGCCCACGAATCTGGCAGCCGCGTGTAAATGTAACGCGTAATTTGATTGGTAGATATCATGCCGAAACCCAATGAAGAAAGACGTAATATACTCTCTCCAGCTAGACTGGTATCCTGTCCTTTGCCTCCTAGTAGACTGGTACCCTTGTCCTTCGCCCCCTTGCGGCTGCACAACGTGAAGTGCTGCGAGGAGCGAAAGCGCTCTATGGCAGTCAAACCTGTCTATCGCCCCAACAAACGCGACACCTTGTGTTTAAATGCCTAAAAGTGTTGTTCAAAGGGACATAATTGGCATTTTGAAAATTAAGGATTTTAGGACTGCTTTCGTCAGTTCCAACAGTTAAAGAATTTGAAGGTTTTGTTCAAGTTTAATGCAGTCACAATATTCCTATATCATCACAGCTGGTAGATAATAAAGGCTGGGACAGAAAAAAGGGGTTGATATTATGAGCAACGATCTACGCCGTCGAGCTACGATGAAACGCAATCAATCAAGTCACTGAGCCTGCAAAACAACCGATCCACGTAATTTCCTTACGACAGGTATATAAAGGTTACTAGCAACATATTGTAACCCAGAAGCGAATTCAGACGAAGATATACTTTCATGTATATATGGACTCATGCGCAATGTTTAGTCTATGCGTAGACGAAGGCCCGCCAAATAAGAAAGCAAGATTGTTTGTTATTCAACGCCGCAATACTCCAGCAATATTCACGACGACTGTCTGTAAATATTCGTGTCTGGACGAAACAATACAGTGATTGATATTGTTAGCAGCGATCGAGGTACGATGACACACACTCTACCGGGTCTGACCACAGGATCCATGGTCATCCCTTTGGTCGCTCCTACGAGTGAGGGGGCGGTCGGGTAGCCTAGTGGTTAAAGCGTTCGCTCGTCACGCCGAAGACCCGGGTTCGATTCCCGACATGGGTACAATGTGTGAAGCCCATTTCTGGTGTCCCCCGTCGTGATATTGCTGGAATATTGCTAAAAGCGGCGTAAAACCATACTCACTCACTCACTCCTACGAGTGAGTGACTATGTTTTTACGCCGCTTTTAGCAATATTCAAGCAATATTACGGCGGGGATACAATAAATGGGCTTCACACATTGTAGCCATGTGGGAAACGAAAACTTCTTAATTTGTTGGCAACCTTTTCTTGTGCGGGAACGAGTGAGGGGTGGATGTTATTTTACGTGACTGCAAGACCAAGTCCAGTTCAACTGCGGCCTGTATGTAATCGAACCTGAGTCTGATAAACCAGTGGTTGAAATCATGGGCAACGACGACACACATTCAATCAGGTCACACATTGCAACCACCCAAGTCTCGTTTAGTTATCCTGAACGATACTCATGTTTGGGAGTGATAATTCACTGACTCCTTAATGAGTGAGTGAGTGGATCAGTATGCGCCGCTTTTAGCAATAGTCCAGCAATATCACGGCGTGACGAGCAAACGCTTTAACCACTAAGCTACCCCACCGCCGTTCGTCTCTTACGAAGAGTATATGCTTGGGGCCAATTCTTGCCTTGAATATCCACGGGGCAAGAGCTGGAGATCCGGGTTAATATTGGTCTTCAGCAACCCATGCTTGCTGTAGGAGTCGACTAACTTCGGGATCGGGTGGTCAGGCTCGCTGTCTTGGTTGATGCATGTCATTGTATCCCAACTGCGTGCATCGATGCTCATGATGTTTATCACTGGATTGCCTGGTCCTGTACCCATCATCCTCCCGAGGCAAAGGAGTTAACTGACTATAAAAGTGGAAACTGGACTTTTAAAGTCAGTTAACTCTCTTGCCTCGGGAAGATGGTACCCATGAGAGGAGTCGAACCCAGATCTTCAGAGGCTCCATATATGTATACATATATTCTGATCCCCATTCAAGGCAGTTTGTGATATCCAAACGTCCCCTGTAAAGTCAATTTCAACGAGTTGGGGTAATATCTATTGATGATAACACCATGAACAGTATCTTATGAAATGAAGGGAACGAAGAAAATAGAGGTATGCAGTGTGAGTGAGTATGGGTTTACGCAGTTTTAGCAATATTCCAGCAATATCCCGGCGGGGGACACCAGAAATGGGCTTCACACATTGTACGCATGTCGGGAATCGAACCGGGGTCTTCGGTGTGACGAGCGAACGTTTTAACCACTAGGCTACCCCACCGCCCCTTGAGGTCTGCAATCAGCTCTTTCCTATCATTGACAGGGGGCGGTCGGGTAGCCTGGTGGTTAAAGCGGTCGCTCGTCACGCCGAAGACCCGGGTTCGATACCCGACATGGGTACAATGTGTGAAGCCCATTTCTGGTGTCCCCCGCAGTGATATTGCTTGAATATTGCTAAAAGCGGCGTAAAACCATACTCACTCACTCACTATCATGGACATATTAAACCGGACATTTCGAGGCGTCACATAAGGGCACTTTAAAACACTTATCCTGCTGTAAAGGGACTAAAAAAACTCTTTTGGAAAAAAAATATATTGCTGGTGAAAGACGGGATTTATATTTGTTTTGGTTTGGTTGTTGTTTAACGCCTCACTCAGCAATATTCCAGCTATATGACGGCGGTCTGTAAATAATCGAGTCTGGACCAGAGATTCCAGTGATTGATAACATGATCATCAATCCGCCACGCAATTGTGATACGATGACATGCATCAACCAAGACAGCGAGCCTGACCACACGATCCCGCTAGTCGCCTCTTACAGCAAGCATAGTCGACGGGATTTATGAAGTATTATTGATGCCTAAACATGGGTCACCGTCGTTGGCAATAGCACAATATTCCTTTCCAAGGCCGAATGTGTGTCTATGGAGTCACCTCGGTCATTGGAAACCGGTGAACTGGTTATCCAACAATCATTATCTTATTATCAAGCTCCATGTGTGTGTGGCAGCAGGGCACCCAGGCTGAGGAGAGACAGTAACCCAGTTTCATACCGGGCACAAATACAACTGGTTATAGCTAATACCGGATACGCTCATCGGACCGGAGAGATGAACCCACGTGTTGAAATAAAGATACTTCCCTCCTCCGCAGTGTCCTAGTTTACCTTTCGCCGCAAGGACGAGGCGTGACGTTCGCTTCCGTGTTCATTTTGTTTGTTGAGTCAAACATTTTACTTGCTATTATCGCGGCTAGATTTATCGTTTCATGTATCTATCCTCCTTCGATGATATCCATCATATACCACAGCTGACAAATTGCCACAGCTTACAGACAACCTGTTTACATTTGTCACTTCTGTAAACACACGTCCATAACACATTCAACTCTGAATGCAGCCATTGTACATGTGCTTGTTGGCGACTGTACACAACGCGCCCTCTCTATTAGGGAGCCGACTGCGTATCTTATAACGACGAAAGCGGGTCAGTACTTATCTATAGCCACTGCCCGAGACGGAGCCACGGGGATCAGGCGTCAGGCCCTCGGAATGGGGATCAATCGGATGAACTAACCCGAACATCCAGACCTATACACAGTCACATTGGCGCAAGCCACGACCACGCCTCAAGGAGAACGCCCCCTCTTTAAGAAGAGTCAGTGCTGTGGAAGAGGACACTGTGGAATCCGAGGTGACACATGGACTGTTTACATCGAGGCGTCATCATTGACAGTATGGTCATTAACAATGCGATGTTTTAGCAGCAGACGACATTGTCATCCCGAGCAGACGACACTGTCACAACACGCAGACGACATTATAGGATACCCCTGCCTGTTCTCACTCTGATGTCGGTATGGGTGAAGGTAAGATGTCACATGTTAAGTTATTTTGTCGCGCGCCTTGTTCCATTTAGCGGTAAAACCAGGAGTGATTTATAACTGAGTCGATCAACTCGCGCGAAGTAGTTCAGCTGTCTTCGCGTGTCGTCCCTGTGCTCGGGTTTGTACCAAACGTCAATAATATTGACACTATTCGTTAATTATTGAGCAGATGGGATTCGGATCATAGGTAAATGTATTTGTTACCTTCTCCACACCAAGGAATTCGGCCCGTGTGGGACAGGCACGGTGAACTGTTGTCACAGCGATAAGATTATTCATCCCTAGGGCATTGAGTTGTACAGCACACTAACCGTTTGGGGCCCACGAGTGTGAATCTCCGAGCTCCGAGCAAAAACACAGTATCTATCGTCACGCAATTAATAATTCAACGTAACTACAATGCAAACGCATCTATTTAATTTCATTTTGTTTAACTTTTAAAAATATTTATGACTACTTTTGTTGCCTACCACATGAATATATTATAAGGTTTCCGGTTCAAGCGAAAATGTTATTGGTTATGCCGCATATAATGTTATCGTCCACACTGAAATGTAACATCGAATGCATTTGGAAATTCAAATCAATACTTTTGTTCATGCACTACAGCTTCACAACATTAAATTATATGCCTTAAACATATCACTAGACTAACATCTAGTCTGAAATGAACATATCGTACAGAAAAAAACAGTTGTTAAATTATCTTAATTAAAAAATAATAAAAGGGAACCAGACACTGTCTTCATTTTCAGATACTGATACTGCAGTAATCTAGACTTGCCAAACATTATAGACTCACATGTGCTGTATTTGATATATTTGTATCAGGGTCTGTAAGACAGACTAATATATCACGTATATATGCATCGTGTATCTCCTGCAGTGACTTCTATGAACTTTAACCCTAAGACCTGAACGTGAGATTGCCACAGGTATTTTGGAAACTGACCCGTGTGTGAGGCGACGATGACGAGCTAATGTCCCAGTGAGATATATTTACTCTAAAAGTCCACTGTTTCACAGTAATGCATCTGTCCCGACTGTCCTGTGACACACCTCCTCGGGAACATGGCCTAGTTTGTTGATGTTAGTCAATGTAGCCAAGCGCGCTCGTTTCCGCTGAATATAAGGAAGTGCGACATGGTACTGACAAGCACATCTCATTAACTGTGAGTACACGCATACACCTTTCGATTCCTACCCCCGTGTCTATGCATACACACGATCAGATCGTTGCTGCTTTAATTGTGTCATCGTCATCTGATTCGCAGACAGTTTCGACACTGGCAGCCTGTCCTCCACTAAATATAATTGCATGTTTGAAACATTAATAAGTATTCCAAGCCCTAGATACCCCACTCGCCGTGTATGCATACACGACGATAACATAACTGTGTGAAACATCATCTGTGACACCGATTCGCGACTGGTTCCCATGGTAATATATTGTATATTTGAAATATCAATACTAAAATAATATAAATGTCACGATGACTCATATTTGCCCTTCAACACTGTTTTCAGGAAATAGCATTATCATCCAAATTATTCCCAAATGTAGCCTATTTTGAAAACACATATGTAGTTTCTAGTCTGAATGAAGTAATTAGGTCATGAAAACATAGAACCGCTATTAGATCGGGTTCATTGTGATTGGATTGTTCATATTTTTTGTCAAACTGTAATTATTGTTTGACGTTTGTTCCGTTGTCGTTACATGTGTCATGTTGATTGTTTGTATTTATTTGTGATTGGCAACTTCGAGGTTAGTTTGTCGATGTTTAAGAGGAGCTTTGGTCGCTGGTACAAGTGCAGGATTCGACACGGTTAATATATTTTGTTTGTCTTGTTTGTGCTTGTGGTTTTCACCAAGGGTGTTTTTGTTCTAAGTACAAACATCACTGGTGTCATTCAAGAGATGCAAGGTTCTGGTGTGTGTCACTTTGGGTTTTCATAATAGGTCATCAATCGTATGTGCTGTTATATAACTCACTCACTGAACCACCCACTCAGTCACTCGCCTACTAACCCACCCACTCAGTCACTCGCCTACTAACCCACCCACTCAGTCACTCGCCTACTAACTCACACACTCAGTCACTCGCATACTAACCCTCACACTCAGTTACTCGCCTACTAACCCACACACTCACTCACTCGCCTACTAACCCACACACTCACTCACTCGCCTACTAACCCACACACTCACTCACTCGCATACTAACCCACACACTCACATACTAACCCACACACTCAGTCACTCACTCGCCTACTAAGCCACACACTCACTCACTCGCGTACTAACCCACACACTCACTCACTCGCATACTAACCCACACACTCAGTCACTCGCCTTCTAACCCACACACTCAGTCACTCGCATACTAACCCTCACACTCAGTCACTCGCCTACTAACCCACACACTCAGTCACTCGCCTACTAACCCACACACTCAGTCACTCGCCTACTAACCCACACACTCAGTCACTCGCATACTAACCCTCACACTCAGTTACTCGCCTACTAACCCACCCACTCAGTCACTCGCCTATTACCCCACACTCAGTCACTCGCCTACTAACCCACACACTCAGTTACTCGCCTATTAACCCACACACTCACTCACTCGCCTACTAACCCACACTCAGTCACTCGCATACTAACCCACACACTCAGTCACTCGCCTACTAACCCACACACTCAGTCACTCGCATACTAAACCACACACTCATTTACTCGCCTACTAACTCACCCACTCGCATACTAACCCACACACTCAGTCACTCGCCTACTACCTCACCAACTCGTTTACACACTCACTCACTCTTTCACCCATTCACTCACCACTCACCCACTCTTTCACCATCCACCCACTCACTCACTCACTCTTTCACCCATCCACCCACTCAGTCACTCGCCTACTAACTCACCTACTCGTTGATACACTCACTCACTCTTTCACCAATTCACTCACTCACCCACTCTTTCACCATCCACCCACTCACTCACTTACTCTTTCACCCATCCACCCACTCAGTCACTCGCCTACTAACGCACCAACTCGTTCACACACTCACTCACTCACTCGCCCTGTCACTCACTCCACGTGAAAGATACCTCAATCACAATAACGTGTATCAATACAATTCAACTGTAATTTCTGCCACTGGATCCGCCATACTGGTTCACTGTATACGTTGTACAAATCATTCGCCATATCCGGTTCTTGTGTACCATACCCACAATACTCCTGTTTGTCGGACATTCATACTCCACCAACGTACATTCAATACCGAATAGCCGACAGAATGCGTTATGTACATGACTGGAATGCGATCTGCAATAGCACGTGTGAGTTCCATTCAGGGTGTCGCCCGTGCCATACAAGCGACGCAGCTCCATTTATAGACCGGCATTTGCATGTAGCCACGAGGCTGCACAGACAGGCCGCCAACAGGTGCTTGATATTGAACAGGTTGACATATCGCATTCATGTCGCTGCACCAAATGTGAAACGGTATTCCTGTAATGACACAATAAACAATTTCCATAATACCCTATGCCAACAGTCCGAAGGCCACAAGGGTGTATTGGTAGAACGAGACACCAGCTGTATACCGTTACATTCAATGTTGTGTTGCAAACATGTTATAATTCAAAAGAGCAATAGGCCAAAAATTATTAGTTGTTCGGATCCTTTTGCATGTCGGCAAATGTGGGGATGGGGTGCTTACAGATCGGCAAACGTGAAGGCTGGGGGGCTTACAGTTGGCTAATGTGGGGGGTGGGGGGCTTCCAGGTTAGCAAATGTGGGGGTGGGGGCTTACAGGTTGGCAAATGTGGGGGTGGGGGCTTACAGGTTGGCAAATGTAGGGGTGGGGGCTTAAAGGTCGGCAAAGGTAGGGGGGGGGGGGGGGGGCTTCCAGGTTGGCAAATATGGGGGGTGGGGGGCTTCCAGGTTTGCAAATTGGGGGGGCTTACAGTTTGACAGGGGGGGGCTTACAGTTTGGCAAATGTGAAGGGTGGAGGTCTTACAGATTGGCAAATGTGTGGGGGGAGGGGGGTTTACAGGTCGGTCAATGTGTGGGGGTTGGGGGCTTACAGGTTGGCAAATGTGAAGGGTGGGGGTCTTACAGATTGTGAGGGGAGAGGGGGGCTTACAGGTCGGTAAATGTGTGGGGGGAGGGGGTGGGGGGCTTACAGATTGTGAGGGGAGAGGGGGGCTTACAGGTCGGTAAATGTGTGTGTAGGGGGGTGGGGGGCTTACAGGTTGGCAAATGTGTGTGTAGGGGGGAGGGGGGCTTACAGGTTGGCAAATGTGTGTGTAGGGGGGAGGGGGGCTTACAGGTTGGCAAATGTGAAGGGTAGGGGTCGTCAAATGTGGGGGTAGCCTCATTTAAAAGACTGCAATACAGGATTTAGTCTGACAGCCCCTGAACCATATTATTTTACTTGACGCCCAGCTCTGACTCTAATGCTGTAACCTAAATGAAGCAAAGTTTCACCCAGGTTCAGTATCTCCCAATATCACTGGGGCTCCTTTTCAATTTAAATTTCAAATTATATATTTTCAGAGACCAAGCGTTAGTCTATAAAGGATTACAAGATTCAGAACAACAAATAATATATTTGTCGTGGCCTTACGTATATTTACGCTCTGCCAAAAAGTTAAATACACCTGGGGACCGAGGTCTAACTATTGTACCGAGCTATGCAGCTGGGTTGATTCAGATTGGTCCTAATGTGCTGCATAATGTGTCCGTGTGTTGGCAAGGCAAATCATTTTCACATTACGTATGCTATGCACAGTGATGAATATCATATATGAACGCTGTTTGCATTTCCACCATTGAATCGTGCCGATGAACATGTTTTTAGAGTCTGAATACCAAGTCGCATCTAGCGCCCAGTACGTCGCTGACTAACTCCATGCGATCTTGTCAGGGAAAAGGACCGGCCATTTTATATTATGTTGCAT